CGGAGACGTAACAATATATATATATCATAAACCAATTATTGGGAGCGTATTCTACTTGCATACCTTGTGCACAGCAATTTTGAACTTTGATTTAACTACTGTTTTAAAAGCGATTAAATTGGAAAAAAAACAACTGTTTTACAACATTTCTTGAAAGACTGAAAGCATTAGGACAGTTAGATAGGTTTTTAAAAATTACAATACTAGGTTCAACTATAAGTAAGTCTATTTTACACTTAACTTAGTATCCCATTTTAGGCCGAAGTAAAACAACCTGTGCTGTACATATTACATACTAATAATAATAAAGCATCGGAACTGAGACTGAATTTCAATAAAGTTGGAACTTTAACGTTGTTTGACAACAACACACTTATCAACAAATAATAAATGTTCCAAATAAATCTTTAATGGTGGCTAATACAGTGACGTCGTTTATCTGCATGAGAATACTGTCTTTATAGTTTAGTAATTATTTCTATTAAATTTCTAGGGACAAGTTGGGGAAAAAACCTTTCTGGTGGAAGAATACTGTAAGTTTGACTTTTATAATATTTTCTTTATATAGATAATGTTCAACTGAGGTTAACGAATATATAATATTTATTCTATTTGCTTATGAACATATTTTAAATATATGTGTATCACCGAAACCCCTGAAGAACAGGGGTGTATTAACCAATAAGGCTTTCTAGGCTGGGGCCTAGAGTGCAACAATTTGAGGGGGGCATCTTAAGGGGAAAAAGTCAAAATATATTTAATTTAGATTTTTTTAATAATAAAAACACATTTCCACCCATTTCATTGGATTTAAATTTTTCTTATTGTGTTGATGGACAATGTTTCTAGTGAGTTATTCGGGAAGGAATGGGCACATCTAAAAGTGAGGGTCTAGAGCGCCAGTTAACCTTAATACGCCCCTGCTTACGGAAAGAATGGGTAATACTACAGTTTCTTCAGTCTGTGGTACTTAAATTAATTTGTTTATATTTCGCCTTGTAATCAGAGAGTTTTCTTATTATTCTACTAGAAGTATATTTTATGGATGTTGAAATGCAAACAGAATAAAATAAGTTTTACTAATCAAACCTTCCAGTGTATTCTTAGTAAATATTTAATTTGTATTTGTTTCGTAACGTATGAGACACCGTAGACTGGAACACTGACGTTAACCTAATACACATAGTATGTCTACCAAGACGTGAATTGAGGTTGACCTCATACACGGAGTATGTCTACCAAGATGTGGATCTTATTTCGCTTAATATATATATATATTAATAATTGTTATATAATTATGGTCCAACTTCAGCCATAAATTTTCGAAATTATGGCATGATAGGTATTGATATTTATAATCCCCTGGTGGCCCAGCATTAAGCTTTATAACTTATGATTGATGTTACAAACGAACGTGCTTAGAATCTTATTGCATTGCTACTGAAGGGCTATTATACTTTATATTTATTTGCACGTGAGAAAATCATTTTATTTATTGGTTTTCAAAGTTTTTGTGCTATAATTTACTAATTCTTTTCTTGGAATTATTTTAGCTTTTGCTTTAGATATATAATTTAAATTATCTTATCGCTATCAGTCATAAACTGTAGTAGCGTCCTCTGTGAAGTCTCAACCTTAACTTGACAAGTACGAATTGGGAATAAATTCTAATAAAACCTTTCTGCATGTCCATAATTGATTTCTATACAAGAAATCTGAGAAATATAGCTGGTTTTAGATCAGTTCTTCAACAAGGAGAGATGGCTAAATAATTACATTTAATGTTCTTCCTAAACCGCGTTTTAAATTACTTTTTCCTTTTATACTAATACTCTTCTAATAAATAAATATTTGAATTTTATTCACTACGCACTGTAACTTTTGTTTATTTAATATCCAGGTATTTCAAAGACAAGGTTTTAGTATTATTAAAAAAAATTCAACAGTTTGAGAAACTGTGACGAGAATCCTGAAGACTTCAGTTGACAACATTATAAAATATAACTCTTTTAATGGGAGATACCCTGATTCCCTGTAGAGCTAGCCTATAAACAAAGGGAGAAATTATACATACAAACTAACAGAAATCCATGACAACATTTTAGCTCATTCATGTATTTTTCAATGTTTTTATTACTTAGAAACATTAACATACATTAGGGCCCGGCATGGCCAGGTGGTTAAGGTACTCGACTCGCAATCTGAGGGTCGCAGGTTCGAATCCCCGTCCCACCAAACATGCTCGCCCTTTCAGCCGTGGGAGCGTTATAATGTTACGGTCAATCCCACTATTCGTTGGTAAAAGAGTAGCCCAAGATGCTAAATTAGGGACGGCTAGCGCAGATAGCCCTCGTGTAGCTTTGCGCGAAATTCAAAAAACAAACAGACATACATTAATACCGTATTAAAGGAATTTATGTCGTCATTATTAAAACTCACCACTAGGTGTAGTGATTCAGGAAATGAAATATTTCTTGAATGTTATTTAGTTGTAGAACGTATTTGGATATAAAAATCTCGGATGGTGATTTAGATTGATAAAAAATCGTTGAAAATTGTTATTAGCGACATACAACACTTTCAAACATAATACATCACTTTTAATGGTCAAACGTGACGTTATTATAGCGTACATATGGATTTAGATATGCTTTTCTTTTCTAGTATCAGTTTTTAGAGAGCAAGACTTTGAAATAACGTATGTTAATAGATTTTTCTTTACAGCCTCTTCAGAATCTCAAGAAAAAAATCATCTTCTTTAATGCAATGATATCAAATAACTTAATTCTTTTTGTTTTTTGATTTGTTATCAGCTGAGAGAAAACTGACCAGATTTGATTATTATTATTTTTTACTTCGATTAATCTTCTTATTCTTTTAGGCAAAAAATCCTGCCTTTCAAACTATAAATAATTATAAAATCAGTAAACCAGAGTTTAACAGCGGAAGGTTTATACCACCGAGATGGGAAAAGAAGAAATGCGAATGTGGAGTGTGTGTGTTTGTTTTAGTCTAAAAATAGTTCGAGAGTTGCCTAACATATTAAAAAAGAGTTACTTATGCTTTGAACTATCTAATAAATACCACGAATTCCATTACGAAACGTTCTTTTGGGTAAACAAAAATTTGGTATTTTTGTTTTGATGTTACAATCTAGAAGTCAAAACGCTCCTGCATCGGATGATTGGCAGCTGTCATTTATCTTGGTACTGATCGCCAAGCTTTATCTATACATCTGCTTGTTTGTCTGTCTATAAAGCAATAAAGCACAACCTAGGGTATGACTCGCCCAACTCTAGTAATAATCTCTGACTTAAGAGGGCAGCAATGCAGTTAAATTCCTCTTCTGATTAGTAATTTCATTTGTTTAGAAACGAAAGATGGGTGGATTTTTCACTAGCCATCTTCCAATGAAAATACGATGTATTGTGACTAATGAAATTCAGTTCTAGGTCAAAGCTGGATCCAGATTTACTTGTTGACTTTCAGTATCACCTGCTTGACACGTCATGCTGCTGAAATACTCCATATTTTTTCAGCTGTGAGCGCGTTAGAAAAGTGACAGTAAATTCCGTTATTCGATTTAATTAACCGGAAAAAATACCATTGCTGGTGGAGAATACTATATTTTCCATGGTCAGTGGTTTAAAAATTAGGGACAGCTGTACCTGAATGCCAAGGGTTTCTGACTTGACACGTGACGTTTAAATAGAAAATACCGTTCATTAAAATTGTGGAATATTATTGGTTGTACGTAAACAGAAATATTTTATCTTAAACTTAAACCAAACACACTAAAAATGTAGTCTTATCTTGAATTACGGCTGTACGAATAACGTCTGTATTTTGTATACAAATATGACAATCCTGGTATTTTATTGGACATTACTCGTTTCTGCTTTCTTTTGATCAACAAATCTTTGTTGATGTCATTTAATGCAATTTTTTTTACGTCAAGATTCTCGACTTTTATGTAAAAAAAATCAAGAAAACCACTATTCCGCGGCTCGTGTTTGTTTCAGATTAGACTCTCTGATTATTTGCTTGTTGTTTTTTTTTCGTGAAAGTTATATGAGGTATTCTAATATTCATATAATAACCCCAGTAGTAGTTCAGATGCGATTTATGAAAATATGATCGTCATATAAAAATGTTTTTTTTTTTAAACATTATATGCTGTGTATGTTGAATATATGTATGTTTCAACAATAGGAAAATTGCAAGCAGAATTAAGTTGGAAATATTTAGTGAAAGAAGTGTAACAGTTTACGTTTACATGAAATCTAAAAAAGGCAGCTGGTAGGGGGAGCAAGTTTCCGTTCGACGTTAAATCTAAAAAAGGGAGCTGTTACTGGGGGTGGCAAGTTTCCGTTCGACGTTAAGTCTAAAAAAGGGAACTGTTACGGGGGGGAGCAAGTTTCCGTTCGACGTTAAGTCTAAAAAAGGGACCTGTTATGGGGGAAGCAAGTTTCCGTTCGACGTTAAGTCTAAAAAAGGGAGCTGTTACGGAAGGAGCAAGTTTCCGTTCGACGTTAAGTCTAAAAAAGGGAGGTGTTACAGGGAATAGAGTTTTAGCTCGACGATAATTCCAGATGATGATAACTCGAACACTAGGTGTCCTTTTAATTGAAATTTTCGTATTTATATGTGCAGAGACTAGTCGATAACATCACCAAGCAAGCACAGTAAAAATTGCTGTTAAACGTTAACGCTTCCCTTCAGAATTCTGGAACTATTTCAAGAAAAAATATTGTATTATCCGCTATGTGAGAGTATCGTAAATCAGTTTCTCCTCGAACGATCACCTGGCGATGATATTATGATTTAAATAAATGTTTTTATAATTACATAGGGATTTGGACTAAGAACGCGACAAAATGTTGAACAGAGCGGGTTTTAAATGAAATATTATACAACACTGTTAAGCAGTGTGTTTTTTAATGTAATATCGTAAAACACTGTTTTTGAAAGGTTAAGTTTAAATATTACCACCAGGAGATGTGTTGTAGAAAATGTTTACGGTCGTTATGTTTGAATACTGAATACTTCGTGTTATCAAGTGTTGAAACTGATACAGACTGATCACTTAGCAGACACGTTAATATTTAAACATATTTAAAATGAGTACTTAGCAGACATGGCAGCATTTAAACTGATCCAGACTGAGTACTAAACAGACACAGTAGTGTTTAAACTGATCCAAACTAAGTACTTAGCAGGCACATGATGTTTATACTGAGCACTTAGCAGACACGTCAGTGTTTAAACTGATAATTGAACTTTCTGCTAGTTTACAAAATACGACCTTATATTTACCACTCCAAAACTAAAACTTATGCCCCCCCCCCCCTCGTGGTTGAGCAGTAATTGTCAGTAATTTGGGCAGGAACTCCATTTAAATCGATAGGACTAGACAAATCCGTTAAAACTATTGTTAGACATGAGAGTAAATAGTGAAGGTTGGTGGGATTCTCACTTTCCTTTTGTTAGTAATTTGGACAGGAACTCCATTTAAATCGATAGGACTAGACAAATCAGTTAAAACTGTTGTTAGACATGAGAGTAATTAGTGAAGGTTGGTAGCATTCTCACTTTCCTTTTGTCGGTAATTTGGACAGGAACTCCATTTAAATCGATAGGACTAGACAAATCCGTTAAAACTATTGTTAGACATGAGAGTAAATAGTGAAGGTTGGTGGGATTCTCACTTTCCTTTTGTCGGTAATTTGGACAGGAACTCCATTTATTCGATAGGACTAAACAAATCAGTTAAAACTGAATTCGTTTTTGGTGGTAATATGCAACGTGTTTCTAAGAATTTTAATAATTCTAGTACATTTAAACTTGAAATATATTTTGGTGACATTACATACACCAGAATATTGTAGTTTATCTTTACCCCCTTTTTAGATCAGACCCCATATGAGGTAAACCTAAGTATGCCAGCGTTCTTCATGGACACTAACGACTACATACAGGGATACGTCACAGCCAAGTAAGTAACAAACACCTTATAAAACGTATAAAATCTGCATGTTTGTATTTGTAGGCTGTACGTTAGAAACTGAAACGTACAGTATGTAATGTAACTCAAAAACAGAATAAATCTGAAATACATATTGACTATGCGTGTGGTCGTCACTTCTAATACTTTGTTGTGTTTAACTGAAAAACGTCTAAAATAAAAATCCTAAAAGTATTCTTATTATCTCTAAATAATTACAAGTGCCTTGATGGTTTGATTAAAAAATAACTGTTAAGTAATTACTAGAACTTACAAGTGAAAGTAAAGAAAACTGTAATAATATATCAACCACACCATGGCTGCTATATCTTATGCCGGCGAGGCAAATAGCAAGGCTCATCAGGTCTACTGGGATACGAGAGAAATAGTAGTGGTTATTTTCTTTTTTCTATTGTCATTTCATTCCAGTCCATAGTAGTAGTGGTCGAGACGCTTTTTTTCTATTGTCATTCCATTTCAGTCCATAGTAGTAGTGGTCGAGACGCTTTTTTTTGCTGTTGTCATTTCATTTCAGTTCATAGTAGTAGTGGTCGAGACGCTTTTTTTTTGTTGATGTCATTTCAATCCAGTCCACAGTAGTGGTCGAGACGCGCTTTTTCTATTGTCATTTCATTCCAATGCATATTAGTGGTCATTTTCCTTTTTTTCTATTGTCATATCATTCCGTTATATAGTAGTGGTCATTTTCTTCTTTTTTTTCTATTGTCATTTCATTTCAGTCCATAGTTGTGGTCAGTTTCTTTTTTTTTCTATTGTCATTTCATTTCAGTACATAGTTGTGGTCATTTTCCTTTTTCTATTGTCATTTCATTCCAATACATAGTAGTGGTCATTTTCTTTTTTTTTCTATTGTCATTTCATTCCAGTACATAGTTGTGGTCAGTTTCTTTTTTCTATTGTCATTTCATTCCAATACATAGTTGTGGTCAGTTTCTTTTTTTCTACTATCATTTCATTCCAGTCCATAGTAGTAGTAGTGGTCGAGATGCCTTTTTTTTTATTGTCATTTCATTCCAGTCCATAGTCGTGTTGTTCGAGACCTTTTTATACCATAATTTACTTAAACAATAACTGTTTCGGTGTGAATTAACTTAAGTTACTGAACTGTATTTCTTATCAATTTAATCATTACACATCAGAATTAGATTTGATTGATTTATATATTCATTTCACTTGAATTAACTTTATACGTTGTTCAGAAGAACTAGCAAAGCAGTATTTTATCATGTAACTTGTACCTCACAACAAATGTCGAATGCTATGGTTTTACCTGGATTAGTTGGATTAAGCAGGTTTGCTTTATTGCTTATGTTTTCATAGCACGGTCTTCAAAAGCAGTGCAGTCTATTTTCTCTGTTCGCTACATTTCTAGCATAAATTCGATTGTTTATATAAGTTGTATATTAGCTTTTTTTGTACCAGATAGGCTTTGGCTCTTTGACAGTCACTTCTGTTCCGAAAACTCGCGGGGAAAAAAAGCAAATGAAATTTTGAAGTGTAACAAAGAATGGTGGACGAACATTTAAATATACGTAAAAGAGTAGTTGTGAAATTAACGCGCTTAGCAACAAGTTGACGACAATTTCATTAAAAAACACTTCTTACTTTTTCTGACTTTCATTGTAAAAGATTTGAGCGGGATGTAATGGTTACGTATCCGGCCTGTAGTTCCGAGAATTCGCGGTTCGCAAACCGTTGTCGCATAAATGCGCTATGAGTGGGTGTATTTGTTTGTTTGTTTCTAATTATGCACAAAGCTACACAATGGGCTATCGAAACCCGGTGGTTTCTAGCGTTGTAGGTCCGCAGACATACCGCTGTGCCACTGGGGGGGCGAGTGGGTGTATTTGTTTGTTTGTTTGTAATTATGCACAAAGCTACACAATGGGCTATCTGTGCTCTGCCCACCACGGGCATCGAAACCCGGTGGTTTCTAGCGTTGTAGGTCCGCAGACATACCGCTGTGCCACTAGGGGGCGAGTGGGTGTACTAAACGAGTGACGAAAAATCTACTTATTCTCTCAGAGAGGAGTAGCCCGAGAGTAGAAAGTAGGTGCTGTTAACTAAATGCCTTCTCTCTCTCTACTCTTTTAGTTAAAAATTAGGGACAGCTATACGTAGAAAGATCTTGGATAGCTTTGCACAAAATTCGGAAACAAACAGAATAACATAGAAAATCACTTTTATCAATCAATTAACGCGATTAATGTATTACATTTGATCATTTTTAATCCCACTTTTTAATTTTTTTGACTAGTTATTCCGGAGGATCATCAGTTTATGGAAATCTGACAGTAACAACAACATCGATGGAGTATTTAGTGAACGATAATAGAAGCCGATCTCGTTCGCCAGAACTGCAGCACGTGCTCGATGTTGTACGTTTGCCTTGAATCCTTATCAATGATATAACATTTCATACGTATAGAATATATAAATGAATTTTAGAACGAAATTTATTTTAATCTTAAATTTATTAGTATTCTGAATTCGGCAGATTAATGGTTATCATTTTTATACTTTCTTGAAAAAACAGGTAGGATGTATTTTTTAGTTCCGATAAAATCCGTTAAATGTCTTTTCAGTTCTAGTTTACTCTAAATATAAATTGAAATAATTAATGTTAATACCAGATGTTAAAAGTTTCATTTGATAATTATGCAAATGATGGAAAAAATATTAAATTGTGATCAGAGCAAACTACCTATTTAGGTACAAAATAATAAAAAATGAAAATCAATCCGCTAATGAGAAGAACTAATTAAATACATTGTTTTTACATTTTTACTTATAAAGATTAATATGCATTTTTTATCAGTTGGGTACTCTAGCTGTTAGCGATATTTTCGGCCGTAAATCAAATAATATCTCAAGAGATATTTAGATGTTAATAAGAGAGAAAGTGGAGAGATTTTTAGGCATAATTACACTGAAGAGTTTTTGTTTTGTTTGTTTAGGTACTTCAGAGACTTGTAGCAATCGGATTTGTAGTTTGTAAAATTTAAAAAAATGATTTTCATGAAAATACTGATGAGAATTGAACCCTTCGAAAACTGGTTAAACCCCAAACGAAGGGGTGGGGTGTTATGTGAGTTAAATACACTAATTTAAACTCTTTATTTCTTACAGTTTGAAGGGTTCGCCACTTTCCAATTCAAGATGCGAGAGTTAACTCAGCTTGTTTCGAATACAGGGGGGATCAAAGTCCGGGTGACGGCCTGTGTGGGTGAACTTTTCTTGGATCGTGTAGAATGTGGATTTTCAGAGGCTATCATCTTTAATTCAAGCATCAAACTTCAATTCCTTGGCTCTTCTCCTCAAGTATTCAAACCGTCCATGCCTTTCAAAGCTTACGTACGTAGTTGAACTTTGTAGATTTCTACGATATATTTATTTGCATTTAAATATGTTTAAGATCCTTTCTTTAATAATTTAAGTAATTACTTAGTATTTAGTTTTAAGTTAACACTCACTGAAAATTTTGACCACCAGTTTCATCTAATTTCATACTTGTGTAATTTCGGTTAACCACAAACCCCACAGCAACGGTTAAAAGAAATAATTGTAACAGCTTTACGAGATTTAACAGTATTAACAAGCAACATTAACAAAGCAATATAAATAACATTTACAACTTCATCAGGTACTAGCTTAGGAAGATTTTGAATAACGTTAGAAGCATTACAGTTCCACTACCCCCTTTCTGGTTTTTATTTTTCTATTAATCTATCTTTGTTTTACTCTCTGTGTACATCCACTGACCTCTTTCTTGCCTTATTTTTCTATAAACTATCTTTGTTTTACTATCTCTGTACATCCACTGACCTCTTTCTTGCCTTATTTTTCTATAAACTATCTTTGTTTTACTATCTCTTTACATCCACTGACCTCTTTCTTGCCTTATTTTTCGATTAAACTATCTTTGTTTTACTATCTCTTTACATCCACTGTCCTCTTTCTTGCCTTATTTTTCGATTAAACTATCTTTGTTTTACTATCTGTGTACATCCACTGACCTCTTTCTTGCCTTATTTTTCTATTAAACTATCTTTGTTTTACTATCTCTGTACATCCACTGACCTCTTTCTTGCCTTATTTTTCGATTAAACTATCTTTGTTTTACTATCTGTGTACATCCACTGACCTTATTCTTGCCATATTTTTCTATTAATCTATCTTTGTTTTACTATCTCTGTACATCCACTGACCTCTTTCTTGCCTTATTTTTCGATTAAACTATCTTTGTTTTACTATCTGTGTACATCCACTGACCTTATTCTTGCCATATTTTTCTATTAATCTATCTTTGTTTTACTATCTGTGTACATCCAACTACCTCTTTCTTGCCCATGATACACTTAACCTTAAACCGTGTTCATGATGTTACAGCAATATATATATTGAACAGTATACTTATGTATTATGTTGTTACCAGTGGGAGACGTGTTCCCAGAATCTACTTTTTTTTCTACTAAGACGAAAGCTATTTATCATGCACCTAGGAACACAGTAACTTAGGATGTTATCTGAATGAATATTAAAACATCAAAACCGTGAGCAGACATGAAGAGCCGGAGTTATGATAATCGTGAGCAAATACGAAAAGAGCCAGAATTATGATAATTGTGAGCAGACACGAAGAAGAGCCGGAATTTACAACACCGTGAGCAGACACGATGAAAAACCGGAATTTACAACACCTTGAGCAGACACGATGAAAAACCGGAATTTACAACACCGTGAGCAGACACGATGAAGAGCCGGAATTATCAACATCGTGAGCAGACACGATGAAGAGCCGGAATTTACAACACCGTGAGCAGACACGAAGAAGAGCCGGAATTTACAACACCGTGAGCAGACACGAAGAAGAGCCGGAATTTACAACACCGTGAGCAGACACGATGAAAACCGGAATTTACAACACCGTGAGCAGACACGATGAAAAACTGGAATTATCAACATCGTGAGCAGACACGATGAAAAACCGGAATTATTCATTCGTGGAATCATTTATTTGTGCATTGTTTGTTTGTTTGTAATTAAGCACAAAGCTACACAATGGGCTATCTGTGCTCTGCCCACCACGGGTATCGAAACCCGGATTCTAGCGTTGTAAGTCCGCAGACATGCCGCTGTGCCACTGGGGGGCATTTGTGCATTGAAGTTTAACATTAAACAAAAAACAACTTGTCCTTCTTTATCCCGAAATATAGAAGTTGCTTTCTTTTATTGGCTTTTAGCTTACTTGTAGTGCAAGCTCCGAACTTTCATAAAAGAATTCTCAAGCAAAATTCAGTATAAATTCAACTATAAAGTTTTGAAAAATTTTAATGACACACATTTGGTGATAAAATAACCATACCTTGATTTGTTGGATAGACGTAAGAACCATTTATAACATCAGATATTGTGCTGGTGAAGTAAATGTTGAAAAACTGTAACTTTAGAGTTCACTGCTATTCGAAAGTCTACTTGATCTGTGAAATTTTAATTATTAGTTAATTTTATGTACACGGCGTGTACTTTATACATGGTAGTAACCAGGAACGGATCAAGGGACAGACGGATCTAGGCTAAATTTTTCTATCGGGCCTATCATGTTCGCGACTTAAGACTAAGGCAATAAAAACACCTAAAGCTAATAACCAGGCTTTTTTTAGCCTGGGGCCTGGTGCTACAACCACAATAGCCTCCCCCACCTTAATCCACCCCTTGTAGTAGCATATACGTAGTGTAGACATATATTGATACTGCTGTCGTGTTTGGATTTTTGTGTTCTTCATAAGTACTGCTTTTCTGATACAGTCGGCATACTTTGTAGAATATTTTCCTGACACTATATAAACTAACTTATTGAAAACAGTAGCCTTTCTGTTCAGCTTGCAGTATCTTACCATGACGGATCAGCACTACCACCATGGCGTTTGTCCAATCAAAAGCTGGACATCAAGCCTATTTTGACCCTGGTCAATGGCGCCTCAGAAAAGCTGGACATCAAACACGAACTCTTGTCTCCTGTTCGTCCGGGAGTCTGGGAGTTGGAGCTCGACTTAAAGGCCGAACTGGGAGGAAAGACGTTACTGAACAACGTTAAAACGCTTAGTTTAGAGGTAAGGCAGTCAAATATTGAAAACTTGGATTGATTAACAGATTAACCACAATGTATATATATAATATCACACTACTCAGTGTTAGCTTTGTATGTTTTATTTATGGCAAAGACTTGGGCTATGGGATTGACTGTCACTTTTATAACACTCTCACAGCTTAAAGTGTGGATACTATTTTGTTGTATCGCACAGATTGTTTATTTTCTTACTTTCTTTCTCTTAAACACTCAAAATGTATGTGTAGTTATCTTCATTTAAAGAATTTAACTATTCTCGTAATGACAACAAAACTGTTGAAGATAGTAATAACAAGTAAAACTTTTTACTTCTCTTTTGTTATCTCTCCGTATATTCAATTTAGTAAAGCGTTATCTTAATGTTTTACGACGTTATGATAATAAGCTTTTATTAAAACTTAAACAATTTCGTTGATAAAAATTCACCCCTATTATACTTCAACAGCAAAACTTGACTCATGCAATCAATAAATAAATAGCAAAAAAATTATCGTTAATTCACATTTGGCTCTGCACATCACTTGGAGGAGGGTGAAGTTTATTCCCCCCCCCCAAAAAAAAAGTTAAACAGCTCCCCATATTAGATTGGCCCGTCTTCACATTATCCAGATTGAAATCCATTGTCTCCCTTTTCAGCCTACTCTCCCCTTCCTGACAGTAAACAAATCAACAACTTATGTTTTAACACATCCCTCAGGAGCCAAGGGGTGTCTTTACACTACAATTTGTTGAATATTAAAAGTAAGTTCAATCAGGAAACTATCAAAGAGGGGGGTTTTGGACGTATCTTTTTGAGACAACTTTTCGTTGTTAATTGATAATCTTTAAGTGAAATACAGCATCCTCAAGTCTCCATACAAGCTGGTATTATGGTCTACCCGCTAGGAGTAAATTCAGTATATATATATACAATAAAGCCACATTCTCAGCATCATTAATT